CTCCCCCTGTGCGTGGCTGGGGTTGATGCTCAGGATCAGGTTATGGTGTGGGCCTGGGCACTCACAATTAAGCTGAGGAGCTGATGGATCTTAAAGGGTTGCTGCCTTTTGCTGCAGCTCATGTCTGAAGTGTGTTGGCACCTCTTCTGACAGCCCCATCTCTTTCCCCCAGCACCTTGTGAAAGCCATGGTTGCACTCCAGGAGCCCAGGCAGTAGCTAAACCAACGCCCTGCTCATACCTAAACCCTCCCTCAGGGCTTGACAGGGGTATCTGGGGATCCAAGAGCCTCTTTGTTTTCTCTCTAGAGCTCCCAGAGAACTGGACCGATACCCGCGAGACGCTGCTGGAGGGGATGCTCTTCAGCCTCAAGTACATGGGCATGACACTGGTGGAGCAGCCCAAGGGAGAAGAGCTCTCTGCGGCCGCCGTCAAAAGGATCGTCGCCACCGTGAGTGTCTGTGCTGGAGCAGAGCCCTGTCTCCTGCTGTTCAAACCAACCTGTCACTGGCAAGAGCATCAGGAGCCACAGGTCTAGAGGCTGTGCTGTGCATCTGCAGGTTTGGGGTGTCCAGGCTGCAGGTCCAGCCCTTCCAGGGGTGAGCAGATGCCTGGTGGTGGAGGTAGAACTGTGGGCACTGGCACTGGGGAGCCTGCAGATGGGGCAGGCTGTGGAAAGCTGTTGTTACATGTCTGAGCTCTGGCTTCCCTTGATAAGCTTGGGTGACCCTGGGTGTGGAAGACGCCCCCGACATGGTGAAATCAGCCTTCCCCAAGGCCGTTTCTCCTCTTGCAAGGCAGGGACAGCGTTTTGAATGTGGCCAGCATGTGGCTAAGAGCTGGTGGGCAGGTTTGGTTTCTCCTTCCTGGGATTTGGAGGGTTAAGAGGAGCAAGGAGTGGGACAGCTTGCTCCCATTCCCAGCCAATACCACCCATCCCACTGTAACTCGGAGGTTACAGCCATCCGCTAGCATGGAGCCTCCCTGGAGCCCTGCACACCAGGCTGCAAGTAAAATTAACACTTCTTTAAGCCCTTATAAAAGGCAATGAGGCAGAGCCCCAGTTGTACAGTTAACTTGTAATGTCAATGGGGTGTCCAGTTGTGCTGGGTAATGACGGATCCGTGCCTGGCATGTGCTGAGCTGGACAGAGGGAAGCGCTCGCATGGAATGGGAGCTGCTGGCAGAGCCTGTCACGTCTGCTCTGAGCAACCAAGGACGGAGTCTTAAAATAACCCCCCTGGGGCTGAGGCCATTGGAGGGGCAGGTCTGACCCCCAGCCTGGGCATGGCTCATATGAGATCACTGAGGCCCTGGGTCTGCAGGCTGTAACTAGCTCACTGTGTGTTACTTTTGGTCGTAGTTTCTGTGTTTTCTTATTTTGGGGTGGGGGGAAAGAAGCTGGGCAGTGAGCTGGATGTAGCCTGAAGGCTGAAAGCAGTAAATAAGAGAAAGTGGCACTTACTTTCTAAGCTGGCATCCTGAGCTGGACATGGAGGATGCTTTGCCACTCAAGCGGAGTCTGCCAGCGCAGCTTGAAGCCAGCTGCTTGGGAGCCCACATCCTGCAGGACCATCCTGCTCCTGGCACAGAGTGGTGGAGCCCTTCCTGCGATGGCCACGGGGAGTCCTCATGGAGGGGCTGGGCTGGAAGTGCCTCTCTGCACGTGTGTGTCCTGTCTCCTAAATGCCAGCAAAGAGCTCTCCTTCAGGGAAGGAGAAGTTTTAAGGAGTGTTTATAACTTCTACTCACACCTGGGAGTATATTCTGTAGTACTAACGAGTGCTGTTAACATGCCTATCAGGTCGTGCGTACCTAGAGCCTGTGGTCTGCTCATGTACCTTTGGATGTATCAGTGTTAGAAGCCTGTAACTTTCCCCTCCCTCTTTTCCTTCCAAAGGCAAAAGCAAGTGGAAAGAAACTGCAGAAAGTGACGCTGAAAGTGTCCCCCAGAGGGATCGTGTTAAACGACAGCAGAACAAACGAGCTGATCGAGAACGTCTCCATATACAGGTGGGTTACGGGGTGCCCGTCAGTGGGTGCACAGCCCAAGGCTCCTCATCTGCACCCAGGCTGAGCCAGCACCTCACTGGCCATCATGTCTGATGGGAAGCAGAAGGTGGGGAAGGAGGGTGGTGGTTAAATTTAAGGTAAATGTGCATCATCTGCAGTAAGAAAGGAAAGGTAAAGGAAAGCTATTGTGAGCCTGGAGGTGAATGTGTGGACTGCAGATCCTCAGCCAAGTGCTTCGTGGCCACATGTGACTTTACAACCTGTTTGTGGCTATAGAAATGCCCAAACATCTGGGGTGACAGGAGGGGTTGGACACAGAGAATGGAGGGAGCATCTGTGAGTGAGTGAGGACACAAACAGCAGAGCCTGGGCCGCCCTCCCCTCGCTGGCTGCTCCACACTCCTGATAAACAGCTCTGGCACAGAGCAGGGCTGGGACAGCCGTGGGGATCCCGTACCAGCGTGGGGAGGGCAGGATGGGTTATGCCATATCCACTCCTCCGGCTTTGACAAGTATTTAATCCAAAGAGGTTGGCGGCAGGCGCAGTCCTGGCGGAACAGAGCTCAGCTCCAGTCTGGCCCTCTCCATCCCTTCTCCATCCCTCTCCATCCCTCTCCATCCCTTCTCCCTCTACATCTCACACTCTGCTTCCATCCTTCACCTGCTGCTCTGTGCCCCTTTGCTAAAGGTGGGGTGGGGAGCACTGGGTCGGGGTGCTCTCTGTAACCAGGCCACTAACCCGCTTGCTTTTCTCTTAGTTCAAACTAAGCAGTTGCGCAGAGCTGCTGGTGCTGAGCCCCAGCCCTCCCCAGGAGAGGAACTGCAAGAGCCAGGATGGGGGCACTGCACTGGGTCACAGCAGGCAGAGCCACTGGGCTGCGCCGCTTAGGTGCTGCCTTCAGTTGTCCCCAGACACTGTTAACAGCCATGGATAAAGCTGCTCCCTCTGGTCCGTGCTCACCTCTGAGCACCCCCTGATTCAGGTGACTGAGGTCAGCGCATCCCCAACAGGCTGCGGGTGTGGGGCCTGGCGCTGCAGGAGCAGGGGACGCAGCAGACACTGGTGCCCGTGTGCCGGGGTGTCGTCATGTCCCCACTCCGAGCGTGCCCCATCGGTGGCAGTCCCAGGGCTTTCCTCTAACACCTCGGGTCCTCTCTTGGGGTTCTCTGTGCGCTGGGGTGATGCTGGCTCTGAGCTCCTGCCTGATCGTGTGCTGGAGCAGGGCACGGGGGGCGGTGACAACACCCCCGCCGCGGGGAGCCATCGGCTGTAACACGGGCTCGCTGCAGAGGCGGGTGGACATCCACTATGGAGCTGGTGCTGGGGGGTTCTGGGAGGGCCCCGTCTCTGCTCAGCGACATTCTGCAGCTTTGCCATCATCATTAAGAGTGGCCCTTCTGTTCTGTAGAAAAATGGGAGAAAGGGGTAAACTTTTGGGTGCCTCTTTAATCCAGAGCACGGCTCAGCTCTGGAAAACAACATAGAGGCCGTTGAGCAGAGGCATCCTCACATGCAGCAAGACACTAATGCAGTGTAAGATGTTTTGAATGTGGCTTTCTGGACGTCATCTGCTGGGAACTGGGACCTTCCAGTCCCCTCCCTGCAAACTCTGCAGGGCAGTGGGAAACCTTGGGAAAACTTCCACCCAAGTGTCCCACTTTCTCCTCAGGTTTTCTTTCCTTAACCCCCATTTGATGTTGTGCACCCAGGGAAGAGGCTTTGCTCGCTGCTCGTGCCTGCTGCCTGGCATTAAACCTGCAGGGCTGCTCCAGTCTCTGCTCATGGGCTTCAGAGAGATGCTCGGTCCTGCAGCTCCTGGCATGGATGGGCCCATGGGAGATGGTGGTGGCTGATACTGAGGGACCCGCTCACCTGCAGCAGGGAGGCTGAGCCTCCTTCCCCACGTCCCCTGTGCGCAGGGGTCTCGGAACATCCTGTGCCTCTGCTACTGCGGATCTTGGAGCCTGAATTTCAGCTTTTCCAGCAGCTTTTCTTGGGCACCCTGCATCAGTTTCTTTGCCTGGTTTGAGATGAAATCATAGGCTGAGGGCAAGTCCTTCTCTCTCCTTACAAGCTTATCCTCCAGAGCAAATCTTGTGTCTCCTGTGGAGGCAGAGCTTTCATCAGGTGCAGTCCCAGGTGGGACACTGCAGAGCCTTCACCTTCTCTAACCTGCCCTTCCCCACAGGGTGAAACACTCCCTCTTCCCTCCTGCCTCTGTGCGCAGCGCCCGTGGCTCATGCCATGGCTGCCAGAGCTGCAACACACTTCTCTTGTGTTCAAGCCAGTGACACCCACTCCTCTGCTTTGGGAAGGAGTTGCATTGAAGCCTGTTAATACTCCTGTGCTCCCTTTGCCTTCTCTGCTTGGCCCTGGTGCTGGAAGCCCTGGGGTAGGCGCTTTCTGGTGGATGAGAGGAGAGGTTGGTTGATCTCCCTCGTGCAGTGCCCCAGACAAGACGTTTCATTCTGTCTTTCAGGATATCCTACTGCACGGCAGACAAGATCCACGATAAAGTGTTTGCCTACATTGCCCAGAACCAGCTCAATGAGAACCTGGAGTGCCATGCCTTCCTCTGTACCAAACGGAAAATGGTCAGTCCAGAGGAAGAAATGGGGATGTGGCTGTAGGAGGAGGAAGCAGAGAGGGTCTGTGCTGGTGAGATAACAGCTCTGCCCCTGGAGAGAGCGAGGGGGCCCTGCCATGGGGAGCATCCACCTCCTGCTGCTCACAGGCAGTGGTCCTGGCAGTGCTGCCCAGTGCCTGGCCATTGCTGTCAAGGGGGCTTAACCCTGGGCTGGATTCAGCCCACTTGGCAGGTAAAAGCCTTCCTGCCCCAAGGTCTAGGGCAAGGGTGGGAGGACCTGGTCCTGCACTTACCTGAGCCCTGCTGCAGCCCCACCTGATGGGACCCTTCCCTGCTCCCATCCACCTCCCCAGGCTGCTGGAGAGGCTTTGGCAGGCAGGAGGTCTCCGGGGCGCCTGCAGCAAGCGCAATGTCCCTCCTCTGCTGCCTGTTGCGGCGCCCAGGCAGAGGATGGGATCTCCTGAACCCACAGGGAAACAAGCCTCCTGAGTGCCAGTGCATCCCAGTGTGGTGGTTCCTGGGTCCTTACGAGCATCCTTGTGCCAAGCTCTTAATATTCTGCACTTCTCCCGACTCTTTGGGTGTTTTTTTCCTGGGGAGAGAATAATGGGAGCTACAAGTTGTCTCCTTTCCATGGCGTGTTCCCATCCGTGCAGGCAGCGATAAGCCTCATTCTGCAAATTAGAATTCAAATCTCTCCAGTGCTAAAAGCATTATCTCGGTGGTCCATCAGCTCGGAGCATCTCCCTCCCGGTGCAGTTCTCCGTGGCTTTTTGTAGCATAAACTAGAATGGATTGATTTTTTTAGCTTGGCTGTAAAACACACATGAGGTGATGCCCTGCTCCAGGGGCAGGTCCCTGGATGGGGACGCAGCTTCCAGGCTCAGGCGTGTAATCAGTCCATATTTTTAGTCCTTGGGTAATTCTCAGCAGTAGCTGGTCTATTAAACTTGATTCAGACGTGACAGCTTAAACTGTAAACAGCTGTGAGGAGTTTCATACTTAATTACATATTTAAGGTTCTGCCATAAAGCATTCGCACTCCATCAAGGATGTAAATAGCTCCAGTGCTGGATGAGCTCTCCTGCTTGGCTGGGCTGGCACTACTGCCTCTCCTCGCCCATCCACAGCTCCATCCTCCGGATCCAGGGCTGCCGGCTCGAGTCCCAGCTCTGCCTTTGCTTACTTTGCAACTTGACAAAACAAGCTCCCGCCTGGAGGCTCCTGCTCCTGGTTCCCCCTTTGTGCTTCAGCTGCTCGCGAGCTGGGCCTCCTCCTGATGAACGGGCTTTCGTGTCGCCCTCGTGCCCCTCCAGCCGCTTGGGCGGGTTGAGGTGGTGGGGGGTTAAATGCTGCTCAAGCTCTCAGCATGGGGAGCAATGGAGGGGCTGAAGGGGAAGGTGCTCCTGCTCAGCCCTGGCTGCTGCCAAACCAACCCCCGCTGGTGTCTAAGCCAGCGAGACCCCAGCTCAACTCGGGAGAGCCAGGGGAAGACCCTGGGGGTCTCTTCTCCTGTCCCATTGCACCTAAATATGGGTCTACAACAAGCTGCGTGTCCTACACGGAGCAAGTCTCTGCTTTCACCCACATTCGCTGATCCCTCCCCAGCCAGGAGGGGAGCGCACGGAGCTGAGGACTGGCTGGACCAGGTTAACATGAAGCTGCAAAGCAAAACCTCCGAGTGGCTGAAGCCTGGACGAGGAGCCGTGGGTTAACTCTGTCTCACCACTCTCTTTCCAGGCACAAGCAGTCACCCTCACTGTGGCCCAGGCCTTCAAGATCGCGTTTGAGTTCTGGCAGGCAGCTAAGGAAGGTGAGGCTTTTTCCCCTCTTCCCACTCTTTACATGAAAGCTCAAGGATGACTTTGGGGTTTTTCCCAGCTTTCAGGTGCCTTTCCCCTCGCCCTCCAAATTTCCAGGCTGCTGGTAAGGTTGATCCAACCTCTGGTGTGATTTAAGGCATCTTCCAGGTTTCTCTTGACAGCCTTATAAATCCAGCCAGGTTTTGGCTGTGGTCCTTTCTTGCAGGCAGTGAGTGAAGGTCTGTGGTACCCAGAGCCCTGCCACTGGCAGGGGTTTTGCTTTCACCTTCAGTGAGATGATAAAAGGCACCCAGAGCCTGGGCTGCTGTGGGCAGTGGAGACCTGATGGCCCATCCTCGCTGTCCCCACTGTCCATCCTCCCTAAAAGCTTATAGGGAGACCCCTCCACGGGCAGTGACTGGGTCTCCTCCTTTTGCAGAGAAAGAAAAGCGGGAAAGGTCCATCTTGGAAGGAGAAGGGACAAGCAGCCCCCACTCGGAAGCCCCTGCGCACCCCGACACACGTAAGTCACCAACAGCAGAGCTTTGTTTCAGCCTTGGGGATGAGGAACAGCCTGAGGTCTGCGGGGTTTGCCTTGACCAGGGCACGCTCCTGGGAGGGTTTTGGAGACCAGCGAGGAGCAAACACTTCTGTCATGGCAGAGATGCTCCCTCAGCAGAGCGCTTGGAGCCAAGTCCTTCCACCCCCCTGAAATATCTCATGCAGCCCCTTAAACACAGCTGCTGCCACCCCAAATCTGGTTACTTCTGCCCCAGGCATATCGGCTGTAATGTCCTTATGAGCTGAGCATGGACCCCCACATCCCAAGTCTGGTTTTGGGTTTGTCTTGGACCCGAAACACTTGCCATCCCATTGGCTGAAGGAGGTGGACATCCAGATGCCACTCTGCCTCTGGCTTCTGTAAGGAAAGAGAGGTGTGTGAAAATAAACCCATTAATATAAACCTGCTCATCATTCAGTGCCTGACCATGGGTCCTCTGCTGCCTCTGAAACACAAGATGCGTGGCCAGGGAGAAATGGGACAAGAGGCTAATCTCTCTTCCATGCTGGCCATGGAGATAAGAGGATTTGGCACAGAGGAAAACAGCATTAAACTGGGCTTCCTTCCAGGATGGCACATCTCATTTCTCCATGGGAAGGCTCAGCACTGGAGGAATCTATCACAAACGGTGGCACACTGGGATGAGCGAGGCCTGGGGCTGCCACGGGTATAGGAGAGGGCTCCAGCCTCTGCCTGGGGGATGCTCCACAGTTGGGGCACTGTTGATCCACCCTTACTGCAGGGTGAGGAGGAAGATTTGAGGCTTCCCTGAAACAAGCAGCCTGTGGTGTACCAGCAGCCCCCAGGCTGTGAACTGGTCCTCACTCAGGGCAGGATTTGTCCTCAGTCCTATAAAACAATGAGGCATCTTTTATAAGACACTGAGCTGGGGATATCGCCCAGGGCTGTTCCCACCCTGGGCTATGAAGCCCTGGGGTGGGATCTGTCAGCTTTGCCTGCGGCTGATCCTGACTCATCCTGAGCATAAGCAGGTACCTGGGAGCCTCCCTGCTGGCTGCTGGAGGGACCAGCCGGCTGTCCCTCCCCTGTGTCCCTGTCAAGAGCTGCCTGAGCTGAGCATCAGTGATAATTCAGGCTGAAACCACAGTGAATGCAGCTCCTCCACGCTAAAATCTGGGGCCATCCTGAAGGAATTTGATGGAACCCTTTGATTCCCTTCTAGAGGGGAAGCAATTCCTGCAAAAAGGCATCTCTGTTTTCCTCTCCCCTGTCTCATTCCCTCTCCCCTCTGGTCACAGCAGCAGCCACGGGGAACTTGCTGGATTTAGAAGATTCTGCCAAATCACCCGTGACCAGCAGCACAAACTCCCCCCACTTGGATAACAGCGTGTTTGGGCCCAGCTCCTCTGTAAACAACAACGTTGTGTGGGTAAGTGTGTGCCCGGGGGTGCGATGCCTCCTCTGCTTCCTTGGCTCCAGGTCCCAGCACAGGGCTTTTTCTTGGATGTGACACCCCTGGGTTCAGGCAGGTCAGGGCTGCCCGAGCGAGCTGGGTTTGGTGCCTTGAAACGATGGATCAGTGTTCAAGCACCTCCTGCCTTCCTGAGGCTCTGTAAATAAATGGGCTCACCAGGCCCCCTGAGAAATGCCACTGCAGGGGAGTGAACATTCCTTATCCTCATGCAGCACTTCTCAGTGGTTTGTCACTTAATTGAGAGACCACCCGGCGGTTCTGTTCAGGGGAAACACTCATGATGTTGATGGCTTTTGTTTCCCATTCACTAGAACCAGGTTAGATTTAGGTTCACTGTTACTCTTATTTTCCCCTTGTTCTTGGTTGTGGCTGTATCTGGCTTCTATGAGCATGATGACTTCTCTGAAGTGTCCTCGGTCATCTGGCTTAATTGTTTCATGGACCACCAACGACCCAGCCCATGTGCCCGTCACCAACCAGGCTGGGGCTGGTCTTTGAAGCCCCCACTGACCTGGCACCTCATCCCTGCCACGTGTTTCCCAACCTGGAAACAAGCTGAATTTTGCTAGAATTGTGGAGAATTGGATGCAAAAGGCCTCTGCCTGGAGCCTGTTTCTTGAGTCTGCCAGGTCTGAGCCTGAGGCTTTTCAGGTTAAGCCTGAAGATAGCTTAAGTCATATCAAATCCTGGAGGCTTATCAGCGCTCTCCAAGCCCTCCCTTGTTGCAGAGTTTTCATACTTTACATATTACATTAAGTCTGTGAGTACATCACACGATTTTTGGGAATAGTCAAGTCTGTCCATAGCAAAGCCCTTGCTCTACTTGGGAAACCTTTCTCCTGCTTAAGAGCAAATCAGAGATAAAGAATCCCAGAGAAAGCAGTGAAGGTTTCCCCTGTGCTGGTGCTTTCTGGGTTCCTGATCCAGATAAGCCCTGAGGGATGCCTGGAGCATCTTGATGAGCTCTGTCCAGCTCCCTCCCTCTAGCAGAAACCTGCAGCGTGTACCAGTCACATGCCAAGAGCTGGAAGAGCTGGGGCTGTGGTTAACCCCAGAGGGAGATGTGGTCCAGCTGACAGGCCAGATCCAGCCCGTGCAGGCAGTGGGACAGAATTAGCCTGGTTTGGAGATGGTGGGAAAAGGCCACACCCCTGCCCCATCCCTGGGCTGTGAAGGGATGGGGCATCCCTGACCTGAGCCTTGGGATCTGCTCTGAGGAAACCTGGACCACATGGAATTACATCTCTTACCCTGGGGCTTGTAACAGAGAGTGAGATAAAACCTGCCCGAGGAGGCAGATTGCTGAGAGGGCTGATGCTTTAGGCACTCAGAAGTCAGTTTATATGTGTATAAATACATATATATATATATACACATATATATATACACTTTTTGTCTGCTTTGCTGAAGTGTGGAGTCAGATCCCTAAATACACTTTTGTGCATTCTCTTAGCAACTACTTCTCTCTCTTTTTATCTCTTTAACAAAGGAAATGGATGATGGTCTCGACGAGGCATTTTCAAGGTAATTCTAATAACTCCCTTTACAAGTTCAAGCCATTGGGGGCCAGCCTGGGGGACTTGACTAGTGACTGCCTTTTAATAATGCTTCTAATCTAAGCAGGCGCTGTGATCTGACCTGGGCAGCTGCCCCATCAATGCCTCAGCTGTTAATTGAAAGACAGGCTTTGAGGCTGGCTCAGATGCCAAATATTTTGACAACCTTCTAAGGATGGAGGGAGGCTGTATGTGAGAGGGAATTCAATTCCCCAAGCAGTCAGTGTGTTTGTTCCACTTGCTGGGGCGGTTTGAGGCTGTGCAGATGCTGGTCCAAGCTCCTGGCATGGTGGGGCTTTGTTGCCCCCCTGTGAGGTTTGGACTATGGGACCTTGTTCCCATCTGTTCCCAAAGCAGCAGCAGCTGCTGAGGGCAGCCTCCCTGCTCCACTGGCCCTTGTTGCAGCATGGTTGCATCAGGGTGAGTCTGATGCACCAGTTTTGAATTCACGCACCTGAGCACAGAGTTTATGGCCATATCTTCCTGTGCCTTAGTGCACTTCCCAATCCAAATGAAGAGCTGCCCTGCACACACGTGCCCAGCAGTCCAGGGATGTTAAACAAATCCATTTCTTTCAGCTGGGCTTTCCTGTGTGTGCTCGTGCAGGCAGCCCCTGCGGGGTGATGGGGATGCTTTAGTGTACGTGGGTGTCAGTTCCAGGTCTGTGCATGAAGCCACCCAGCCGGGTGCTGCAGAAGCCCCAGTTTGGGCAATGAGCTGCCTTGAGTGCAGCTGGTGCAGGCAGCAGAGGGGTGCCAGGCCCCTGCTCCGGCTGGGATGCCCCGGGAGAGGGAGCTGAGCCCAAGGCTGTCACCTCCCCAAGAGCCACTTGCCTCCCTCCACCCAGGTTTACAGTAGTGCAAAAACTGCATGCTCAGCCCGACGGAAACAGACCTTCGTGTCTTGTTTGGCTCTTGGGAATGATTTACAGCTTCCACTTCCACAGGAGTTCTGTCCCAGGTCATATTTGATAAAGGGGCTGCTTGAATTTATGACTTGATGTCATCTGTTTTTCTCCCCTCTGTTCCTTGCCCTACTTAATGAAGCAGGTGTTGGTTGCGGTGTTCGTTTTGCCGTGCTGGGTGCTGACTGTCACATCACCCTTGGCCTTGTGGTGACTCAGTATTTGGGCAGCTCATCCTCCGGGGTGGGTGCTTCTCAAAGCGTTCCTGCCACAGCATCATCGCTGGACACTTTTCTGCTTTATTAAAAGACGTGTTCAAGCTGGGTCAAGCTGAGGCTGTGCCTCCCTGGATGGAGCACCAAATACCTGAGTTAACCTTTGGCCCTGGGAGAATTGATGCTGCAGTGGTACACCTTCACAGAGGTATTCAGTAACACCACAATCCACTGGGGCTTGTTGGGCTTTGCAAAACATCTTATGATTCTATGATCAGGGATGTGCTGAGATGACCTCTTCAAGCTGGTCCTGTGGGCAGTAAACATCATCCTGCTGTGTCTTAACCCACGTTGTTAAATGGTCAGACTGGGCAGCACAGCCTGTGTGTGCACAGAGCACCGTGAAAACTCATCTGTGGTCAGCAGAGCCCTGCACTGAGATTAAAACCCAGCTGAGCATGCACCCACCAACAAGAGCTCAGGGGAGGAGAGCAGCAGCGTTCTGCCAGACCATTAATACCTGGGCTGTCCAGGCTGTAAACTCCCTGGATGCCTATAGGGGAAATGTGAGGTTAAAGCAGCAGCAAATGTTATGTGCCAGCTCTCCCCTTACGGAATGATTTCATTCCATTGGAGGATTTTGAAATGTGGAACTGCAGCTGGGGTTCAGCATTACGGATGCAGTGAGCATCCAGGCTGTGAACTGCATGGGTTTGTGTTCTTACTTTCTGTTTTCCTCCCCTGTTAGGCTGGCTCAGTCGAGAACAAACCCTCACGTCCTTGACACAGGACTGACAGCTCAAGACATCCAGAGTGCAGAAACGCTCTCACCAGTAGACTGGAACAAAATAGATTCCAACACAGGCGAGAAAGATGATCTGTTCATGTTTTGAGGTCAGATGCATCTAAGAGCTGACAAGAGAATAACCACTAAAAGTCTATGGACTGAATCATGGTGATCCAGGTGCTGTATGCAAGGGACTCTTCTGAGGGCTCTTCACCAAGTCGGGTGATATTACAGCACAGTTTAGACCAAAGCTTTAGAAATCTAATGCAGATTTTTGTACCTTGCTTTTATCTAAACCACAAGATGCTCTTGAACATATTTATTCATAACCATTGCAGTTTACATATACTATTGGAAGGTGTGTAGAGCATCTACAGTATTATGTGGCAAGATGCCACAGAAGAACCTTCAGCAGTGCCTGTTCCTCTCTGAAAAAAGACTATGCAACACCAAAGTCTCCCTGTAGATACTTCTCTAGACAAAGGTCTGCAGATGCAAATGCAATTGCAAGCACAACTGTTACTAATCCACTGTTTTGGAACACAGCCTGCCTAGGCGGAGCGGAGGAGATTTGCAGCAGCTGCTAACAGTGTTAAAATCAAAGAGGTAGCAGAGATCTTGCTTTTGTTATGAATGTCTGTGATACTCTCACAGTTGTCAATCACCCTTATGGGTTCTGGCTGTTTCTTTGCCAGCTCTGTATGGGAATTGACACTTTTTTACCCAAAGACTCTATGAAGTTTTGCACTTTAAAACTTGACCTGAAAGCAGTGGTCCGAACTGCCGAGGTAAGCAGTGCCTGTAACTTCTCTTCAGAAGCTATTCACCCCCAAAAAACCCAACCCAGCAATGCTGCAGATCTGTTTCAGAACTGACTGCTCACATGCACCGTTTCTGATGTGACTCAAAGACTAAGGCTCCATTGCACTGTTGGCTTGAAAAGCAGAACCTCCAGGGAGTAACAATTTGTTTTGCTGAAGCATGTTGAAAGTTGCAGGTTGGGTGAACCCAGTAGCACAATAGATCTGTGTTCTTAGCCCTGCTAAGTGGATTTGGCTGTGCATGCCTTTTTACTGTCTCAGAACCATTTGGTTGTTGCTCACACAATAGACTGAAATAGAATTGGATTAGGCAAGACCAATACCTGGATGTTCAATTGGCAAGAGGTGCCCCTTCCAGCGGTGCTCCGACCTGCTTCCCCCCAACAGCCATGTCTCCCACCAGGCTTGGGAAGCTGTTCATCTGCTCCTGGAGTTGAAAATAAGTAATGGAGGTATAAAGCTTATGCTAATTAAAAGATTAAGTTTAATGATCCTGAATAGTCGCACTGACAGTTTGCAGTGTTTGTGGCCTTATGTGAAGTATACTAATCTGTTTTATAGATTCGTAACTTGGGTTTGGAACACTAATTCATTCCCCAGATAGCTCTTTAGAACTCTCTTAAAACTGCTTGCAGAAGACAAAAAACCAAGGAAAAACCTCTTTGTCAGCTGTAAGGATTTATTAGGGAACAGCTGAGTGACTCTGACTAAAATTTGTTCCCCCTCCAAGTGTTATTGTGATAAAGCATCGAGGACTCATGGAGCTGACTCATCATGTCTCTTAATAAAATGTGTGTTCTGTTTATCCACAAAATTGTGTTTAAAGCAAGTTTCCATCTTGAAACTCCTGTGCCCCTGGTTTGCTGATCGTACGTAGAGCAGCAGCCTCGCAGTTGAAGGGGTTACTCACAGTTGGTCCGTGCTACAGAGACATGAACCTGTCGCATCAGCACAGCCAGAGCCACGCAGGAGTGGTTGTAGCAAAGCGCCTTGTCCCGACCTCGAGGAGTGATGATCTCCCTAGGGAAGAGCTTGGGCTGTAGGAATGGCCCGTGAGCATTTCTCTGTACATTGATCTTTCTCCTTTTCTAGAGACTCTAGGAGCATGTACTGAAATGCACAGTACTATAGATGTATGTATATAGTTTTTTAAGAAAACCTTATACTGTAAAGAATATCTGTACTGAGGGAAATAAAAATCTACCATTTTTTGGAGTGTCTGTGCTGGGTGACTTCATTTTTACCATGGAAATATGGAGAAGCCTCTGTGTTTCTAACTGGTTGAATCCTCTGTCTTCCTTGATGCATACCAGTAAGCGATGGGAAACATCCACGGGAGGTTTCTGACCGTGGGAAAGCTGTTCCAGGGCCATCCAGGTGGGAAGATGACTGCAGCTGGACACTAGGCCACAGTGCTGCCTCCAGGAAATGCTTGTGGAACTGGATGTGGCCACACTGGATGCACAGAGGGATGCACAGCTGCCTGAGCCCCGGTATCACTGGGTTGGCCTCCAGGAAAGGGTGTGACAGTGGATGAGAAGAGGGAGGTTGGTGATTCAGGCTTGTCTGCAGACAGACACAATGCAGGTAACATCAAAACCCAAAATCTCTTAATGAACAGTGGTTCTGAGTCGCTCATTTAATGCATCCCCAAAACTGCAACAATCAATCCTCAGCAAACCCAGGCTGGGTTTATATGTGAAGTGTATCAAGTGTTGCTCTTTCCTCTCTGTTCAAGGCTTGCTCTTCAGTGATGGTCAGGTCAAATCCAGCTCCGAGCTCACACACTGGCTGTTGGGGACGGCGCTGTGCAGCACAGCAGGTACCAGCCTCTCAACTTCTCTCTCCTTGGGGCACCAAGAGTGTTTGTAAATGTGTGCCAAGCTTCAGCAAGAGCTGTCGTTACCCAGATTGGTCTTGTTTAAAGTACAAGTAGAGCAACGTTTCATCTGAACACCTGAATACTGTGTTGTTTTTCCCAGCCAGCCCCAGGGTGCCGGGAGCTGTGAGCAGCTCTGCAGGGCTTGCTTGTGCTCTGAAGCAAGAAGAAATAACTCACTGTGGACAAGCACAAATGCATTTTGGCTGGGGATGGAGCGGGGACGGGGTGGGGATGGGGAGGGTGATGGTTCAACACAGCTCTGCTTTGCTCTAACGTCTAACGTGACGCCAACAGCCAACTACCAGAGCCCAACAAGACTTGTCCATGTTGAAGCCAAGGGGCTGAACCAGAACGAGCACGAGGCAAAGGGGATGTCTGCTGAAAGCCTCGTGCTGGCACCCAGGGCAGGGGCTTGCTCCGGGTCAGCAGCCAGTGCCAAAGGGGTGTTGTGCAAGTGTGTCACTGCCTCTATTGTCGATCTTCTTCTGGGGTTTGCAGCACTTAATAGCAGGAGACGAGGCTGCAGCAGGAGAGCAGGGCAGCGATGCAGCATTAGCAAATGGCTCTTGTTTCCATCGCAGGGAGCCACGTGCCAACATGGTTGCCCTCGGTCTGTGCAGACAACAAGGGGCGCAGGGTTGTTCTGCCAAACCCCTTCTGGGCATGAAAGTATATCCTGAAAATGCTGTAACGCCAGTGCCAAAAACTCCACACACTTGTCAAAAGTAGCTTCTTTATGCGTGTCCCTGCAGAGGAAATCCTGCTACGGTCTGGTCCCCTTTCCTAGAGCCTCAGTTCAAGTCAGTAACTGGGGATTGACGGGGCCCAGGTTGTGCCCCTGCTTGTGGCAGAAGAAAATCCCCCGGAGCTGCTCCTTCTGCAGAGCAGCACAAGCCCCGCTGGTCACCTGGAGCCGAGCAAGATGCAGCGAGGGCTGGGGAGGACCCAGGCGCTTTCTCCATCCACAGCAGCAGCCACGGGGCCAGAAGCTGATGAAGTGACCCAGCACAGAGCGAGTGAGCGGGGCCCTGCTGCAGCCTGTGGCTTGGAGGTTCTTCATGCAGCAAACCCGCAGCTCACTGCAAGCAATCTATCAGGAGTGAGCAGATACTGCTTATGACAGAGGAGTCTTAATATTGCATTACTTCATTTATTTAGCACCTCTCCTCTAATGCCATGGGGAAGAACAATGGGAGAGTGTTGTGGGTTGCTGGGGGTTGGTCGTTTCTTCCCTGCAAAGAACAAACAGCTCCAGATGGTTCTTGGCTCAGCGAAGAAATATTGGCTTTACAAGAAGAAGGGATGTCAAGTCATTAAAAGCTGCAGGAAGAGAAGTCTTCTGAGATGGGAGTGGAAAATGGGCCAAGAGAGCTGGAGCCAGAAAGCAGATGTAGGAAGCGCAGGGAGATCAGAGGCAGTTGCACAGTGAACGTGCAGTTAGAAGGCGATTACTGACCAAGTGCTGGTTCATTTCCTGCCACCAGCCTCTCACGCTGGACACACGCTTGAGCCCTTCTCCGCTGGGCTCTGATCCTTGTCAGTAGCAATTGCTTCCCACGCCAGGCTCCGGAGAAGCTCCCGGCACAGCGGCTCTGAGCCAGCAGAGCCAAAGGGACCCTCTGCTCTGCCCGGGAAGCGGATGAGCCTCTGCCACGGGGCCACGCGCCACCAGCCCGCGCTGGCCCACAGCCAGGGCTCTCCATCGCGCCCAGAGTCTGGCACCACTCGGCTTCGACAGCACCGAGCATCTCCTGGGACATTGACCTGCTGGAAAGCTGCTGGCCTTGGCTGCCAGCAGAGATGTGTCTTTGCAACTGAGAGCTTATTCCCTGTTCCCCGCGGTGTGGTTGGGGGGGCATCTCTGGAAGCTGTTGTAGGAGCTGGGTTGTGCCAGCAAACCCAGCGTGGGAGCGCCAGGGAAAGCGGTGCTGGCTGTGCTCGCAGGCAGGGGCTGTGCCACCTCTCAGCCCTCCTCTTTGCTTTTCCTTCCAGGAGTGAGGCATGATTACCACCAGCGTCACTGCTCCCACGTCAGGGCTGTGGGGTCGCTCCTCTCCCTGCAGAGAAAATACAAGGAGAGGCAGGTTGCGAAACGTCAACCCCATCAGGTCTTGGCTCTAAAATCCCTGCTGACTCCTGTGATTTATCACTCACCCAGCTGCTACTTGCAGCTTGGATAAGATAAGTGAGGAGGGGTGGAAATATGGGTTTTAAAAGCTTGGCTTTAAAGCCCACAGGCTCAGGCCAGGAATCCTGTCCTGGCCAAGGTAAGAGAGTAGGAACATCACTGGTCACAGCTGAAATAGAACAGCCATCCACTCCAGCCTGCACTAGGAGAGGGTATTTCTGCTGCCTTCTCCTCCCTGTCTCCGTGTCTTTTGAACTATGATGTGAGAAAACTGG